ATATACATATGTGCTGCATGCATGTGTGTAGATGTAATTACATATCAATATGCGTATGCAAGCCTCTATTCTGTATACATATCACAGCATGGTGACCCACGATCTCCACCCTCAAAGCCGGGCTTCGCCGAAGAAGTGCCTTCATGTGCGGGTTGTCGGTCTGGGGTTTAGGGTTTCGGTTAGGGTTTAGGGTTTAGGGTATCTCTGGGCTTTGGGTTTCGAGTTCAGTGATGGGGTAAGAGAGGCTTCATGGCAGGGAATGTAGCCATAGGGTCGAAAAAGAACTGGCGTAGGGTTGTGGGGATAATGCGGTACAGAGCCTTGCAGTACACCTCCTGCGATTCAGACATGCTGCTGCTTTTGCTGTCAAAAGCTTCCGGCAAGCCATAAGGAAAGGGTACTCTGTAAAGCCTCCTGCCTCCAAATCTGTTGCCCTAGTCATGTTCATAAACCTGAAGCCAAAGGAGCTTGAACCTGACGCCCAGTCACAGCATTTTTACTACACTGGGTTGACATGAAGCATCCGAGAACGTGAACCTCGAAGCCCTCGAAACGCCAAAATCATCTGAAGCTTCAAATCCGTCGCCTCAGTATTCTTCTTGCTGAGCAGTTTCTCGGACAGAAGCTCCATTCTCCTACAGCCCCTTCACTTGAAACCAACCCTTAAATCTTTGAGTTCACTGGCGGGCACAGCACAGGGAGGCGGTCGATAGCCCAAAACTCAGCAGTTCGTGTCACCCAGTTTTCCAGCGCAATGTTGCACATCAGAATGCTGTCGGGGGAGGAGGTGGCGAGCATACCAGTGGCAGAGTTGAATGACGTCAGGGAACTGAAGCTGCAGCTGCACCAGCTGCATGGCTTTCCGACACGATTTAAACAAAGGCTGCTTCTTTGTGGCAGTCCTTTGGATGATTCTGACAAGCTGGACGCCCCTATGGACCTGGAGCTCGTCCTGCTTGCATACTCTGCCGCATCCCAGACGCAAGCAGACGAGCTGCTGACTGCCGCTGCGAACGGCCTCACATCTAAGGTCTCCAGACTTACATGAGGTCAGGGTTTCGGGTTCGGGTTGAGGGGGTTTTCGAGGTTGTGGGATTGAGGATGTTGATACCTCATATGGGGAAGAGGTTCACAACCGTCAGCCCTTCGACCTTCGACCTGGGGATCGTAGGGTGGGTTGGTGTGGTTCCTTGGAAATCTCAAGACTCCAGCCACGCAGGTTGAAACAATGCTGCAGCTGCCTCAAGACCCGGACCTGGCCGATGACAGAGGCAGAAGTGCGCTGATGGCAGCCTCAGAACGTGGCCATGCAGACGTCCTGCGCTTGCTGCTGGAGGCCGATGCCAACAAGAACTTGACCAACAACAACGGCGACACTGCCCTGATGGCAGCTGCTTGGAATGGCCGTGTTGAGGTTGCTGGTTTGCTGCTGTCTGCAGGTGCCGATAAGAGCTTGACAAACCTACATGGCATGACGGTCCTGATGCAAGCTTCTTACGAAGGCCACGTTGAGGTTGTTCAATTACTGCTGGATGCAGATGCCGATCAGAATTTGGCAGCCGCCGATGGCTACACGACCTTGATGGCAGCTTCTCACAAAGGCCACAATGAGGTCGTTCGGTTACTGCTGGGTGCTGGTGCCGAAACGAAATTGGCATCCACCGATGGCTACACGGCCTTGATGACAGCTTCTTACGAAGGCCACGTTGAGGTTGTTCAATTACTGCTGGATGCAGATGCCGATCAGAATTTGGCAGCCGCCGATGGCTACACGGCCTTGATGGTAGCTTCTCGCAAAGGCCACAATGAGGTTGTTCGGCTACTGCTGGATGCAGGTGCCGATAAGAATTTGGCACGCACCGATGGCTACACGGCCTTGATGGCAGCTTCCTGCGAAGGCCACAATGAGGTTGTTCGGTTACTGCTGGAAGCTGGCGCCGACACGAATGTGGCAGCCACTGATGGCTACAATGCCTTGATTGTAGCTTCTCGCAAAGGCCACAATGAGGTTGTTCGGTCACTGCTGGATGCCGGTGCCGATAAGAATTTGGCAGCCACCGATGGCTACACGGCCTTGATGGCAGCTTCTCACAATGGCCACATCGAGGTTGTTCGTTTGCTGCTTGCTGCTGGGTGCAGGTCCCGCAATGAACCGTCACGCAGCTAGTGTTCAGAGTTAGCGGTCGGCCTCCTACGAAACTAAATTGAAGTGGTCTCTCGAGTTTGTCCTTTTTTGCGGCGGTCTTGGGCACTTGAGGGGCGTCTGAGGCATGTGAGGGATAGGCTTTCATGGGTTACCGGATTGGGAATTAAATCTGTTGGGATTTTGTGATTGTTAAAAGTTTAGGATGTATTCTGTTGCAGGGCTTGGAAAGGCAATTGGTTTAGGATGTTGAGATGGCTGGGGGCACCTGCCGACCTGAAACTTTAAATTCCTAGCTTTGAGTGCGGGTGGGGGTAGTAGGAGGCTTCGGGAACCCACGCCCCAGACTCTCGATCGGTGCTCTGGGATTAGGGGTCCAGTTTTGTGTTCTTTCGACCCGGGTTTGCCTACTTGGAGGTTCATGGGTAGTTATACGTGGGGTTATAGGTAGGGAAAAATAGTCGGAGACTTATAGCCCTGCTTATAGCTACCCATGAACCTCCAAGTAGACAGCATGGTTCGAGCTGGGATTGGCTGGCATTGCCACGGTCTCCATTGTAGTTCCTTCTTTGGTTCCACCAGTTCTATACTTAGTCCAGAGAACCCAATACCCCTTAATTAAGGAACATACCTTGAATTATGGAGGCCTTAATATTATGATTTAAGCTAATATCCTTAATTAAGGGGTATTGGGATCTCTGGGTAACCCCCAAAAGTAACTACAAAGCAGACTAGGTCGGCTGCAAAACCGATGAAGCAAACAAGGGGCCTGAGTACTTAAAAACCCTTTTCTCATTCACAGGGCTCCTTTTGTGGGAGCTTCCGAAAATGTTGGCTACCTTATCTTGGGGGTCCTTAGAATGAGGATCCTACTATTTTGGGGTATTATATTAGGGTCCCCTATTTTCGAAAACCCCCCATGTTACATTGCTGCAATACTGGGGCAGAGCGGAGCTTCCACAGGGTGCACTCCGGGTAGATTGCGAGACTATAGCGGCCGTAATAATTACCTCTACTATCTTGGGTGGTCCATACTATAGCTACCCAGAGGCCCCATAGTAGTTCCTTTTTGGGGTTACCCTATACGATTCTATATACGAACCCCAAAAAGGAACTACTTTGGGGCCTTAGGGTATAGTATCATGGCACCAAAACCCTGATTATTAAGGCCGCGGCCCCTATATTATTTCTAGAGTGTCTAAGAGTTCCGCTGCGCGTGCCAGACATTGCAGCACTCCTCTGTGCTTCTGATTGACAAAAATCCACAAGCTGCGATGCTTGGGTGCATTCAATTGCTAAAAAAAGCTTCGAACTTCCAACTATGGTACTCTGTGCTGCCGACTGTTGCAGGTTTTTGAATGCGCACACAACCTTTTGCAGCTTTCACCAGTACAGACCCGCAACCGAAGCATCAGCATTGCTGTCGCACCTGAACTCGAACTCTAAGCCCTTTAAAATCCTACCTAGCAGCCCCAGGCCTTAGCCCTAAACACTAATGACCCCAAATCCGAAAACTCGAACACAAATTAAACCGTGACCTCTAACCCTAGGGATCTAAGGACTCACATATTAAGGCTTTTGGGACCATACTATATACGGCTTTTGGGCTATTTCTATCCCTAGGGTAACCTTTACCGTAATCCTGGCTTTGCCAAGGCACGCTTTCAAGCCATGGCGCAGATGGGCGAGCGAAAGAGGGCTCTGAAACTGTCGAAGGAGGCGCGAAACGCCTCCTCTTGATTCTGGTTTAGGATTTACCTAGACCCCCAAAAGTAGGTGAAACAATTGCACAAAACCTGTAAAAGGCTCTAAGTCCACATACTTTTGGGGTCCGGGTACGGTTAAATCCCATTCGGGAACAGACCTTAGCTCATAGGTGGATCCTGGTTATGGCGTCAGGCATGTTCCTTTACAAATTGCCGGATTTTGGTGTCTCCGGGTTGGGTGAGGCTCGGGGTTGCGGGGTTCGACAGTGAGGCTGCAGAGGCTTCGCAAAGCATCTGTGGGGTGTAGGAATGAAAGTTCCGGAATCGCTTAAGCGTGAATCCAGCGATTCGAGGACCACTTCTCATGATTGAATGTCCATGTGGCAGTCAAGTAGACCCTAGACCCAAGAACCTCTACTCCTTAAACCCTGTAAACCTTATCAAATCTTTAGAGTACCTGTATAGACACCCTGAAAGGGACCCTTATACACTAAAAGCCCTCTGAGCCCCAACTCCAAGGGTAAAAGGAGGGACCCTTAATAAGGACCCCTAGGTATTTACCCTGAATATAGCCATTATATACCCATTATATAGCCCGTTATAGGGTAGGGGCCCTTATTAAGGGTCCCTCCTTTTCCCCTTTGACCAACGAACCCCTACCGAAAAGGAGCTGGATGTCTGCCTCGCTGCGAAAGACACTCGTGGGGAGGCTCGAAGCTTTCTGCAGCCAGGGTGCTTTCATCATTTTTCAGGGTTCCCCAAAGCAGTGGTCCAATACACCGATTGGGCCCCCACAGTTGGTTCTACATCGATTTCTGGGTATTGAGTTTTGGGGCTTTTAAAATTTGAAGAGCTCGGGCCGTTTAGGGTTTGAAGAGCTCGGGGCTCCGTTTAATGCAGCAAGTTCGAGTGAGAGAGGCACCTTCAACAAAAGCCTCATCCTCTTATCCCCTGTTTATTCCTGTTTATTCGTGCCTGAGCCCAGCCAGCTTTCACTCTGCTATGGGCCACAGTGGCAGCTCCATGTTCCCTTCCCTTCAAGATTCCTAGCTGGACGCTTGGTTCAGACGAAACCCATGTGGGGGGTTGTCAAAATTAGGGGTCCCTTTTTGGGTGCCTAAATAATAGGTGTCGTATTACAATACGGACCCTAAAAGGGACCATAATTTTGACAACCACCCATGTTGCTGTGATCTGTAGCTCGCTGTACGGTGTCCATGGTGGTTTTCTCCGGAATCCTACAGCAGATGTTTGTGGGCGAACTCCCTCAGTATTCGTCGGCAAGAGCCCCGACACTGAACCTCAACCTACTTAGGGCAAGCACGAAATCATGACCCCTCCGGCGAATGTGCGTCAATGGCTCCGTTTTGAGAGGCCATCATGCGGCTATGCATCGCGGAGACCGTTTTGGAGAAGATGGGCAGCAAGCATCGGAAAGAGGACGGAGCCCAATGTTTGTTTTCGAATTCTAAACTGAGAGTGGTGAGGGGATGTCTAGCACACCTAGGCCTTAAACCGCACCTAAACCCTACACCAGAATTCGGTTTTGTTTTCCTACCTATCGCTGTGCACGTGGGCACTTGCGAGACAGGACCCTGGACACAGGAGGAGGAGGGAAAGAGTGGGTTCTGAAGAGCTGGTCACCCGAACAGACCTTCCAGGGCCCTAGACACTATTGAATACCTGCAGCTCTTGTTGTCGGTGTCCCTTTCATTGTTTTGATGTTGTTTCTCGCTCTCTCTCTCTCTCTCTCTCTCTCTATCTATCTATTTCTCCCTCTTACCCCTTCATCTACTGATGTATCGATCGATCCCATCTATCCGTCCGTCCGTCCGTCCGTCCATGCATCCAGCCAGCCAGCCGGTCGTCCTTATCTACTACTTGCTTACCTACCTGGATACCTACCTGCCCAACCACCCAGCCAGCCACCCACCCACCCACCCATCCACCCATCCACTCATCCATCCATCCACCCATCCACCCATCCGCCCATCCGCCCATCCACCCATCCACCCATCTGCCCATCCGCCCATCCAGCCATCCAGCCATCCAGCCATCCATCCGTCTATCCACTTATCTGTCTGGCCGCTAATCCATTTACTCGGCTATCCATCTATCTGTCTATCTATCTACCCACCAACCAACCAAGCAACCAAGCAACCAAGCAAGCAATCGCTGAATCAATCAATGGATCGATCTATCTATCGATCTATTTATCTAGCTTTGCATCCTCCGTAGTTCATGGCTCGAGGTTTGTGATGCTCCTTTGTGGTTCTGGTAGCTTCCTGTAGCAAAACATCGATTTCCATCATTGGTCCTTGAGGCATAAGGTGTTACGCCTTCACGCAAGTCAGCATCACTTGGCCCACGTTGCATGTGGATTGACATTGGTAGTTCTTGAAGGTTTATGGCAAGTTTCCGTAAACTCTATACCCTAAACCCTATATATACCCTAAACCCTAAACCCTATACCCTAAATCCTGTTTGGGTTTCGGGTAAGTGTGTTTGCATCAAAGGCCACGCCGGGATCCAGGCTTCCTGGGCTTACAGTAGAAGCCCAAAAGTTGGAAACCCCATAGCCTCAATCCTTAAGACTAATGTAAAGGGAATCCCAGCACTATTTGGCCTTAATCCAGTTTCCAACTTTATGGGGTTTACTGTAAGGCTTCGAGCCATGTCGGAGTATAGTTTTCGGAATGGGTTTAGGGTTTAGGGTTTAGGGTAAAGCTCGAAGCCGGTTTAGGGTGCAGGGTTTAGGGTGTAGAGCAGGGTCTAGGGCCTAGGGTGGAGGGTCTAGAGTTCAGGATTTAAGTTGTCGGTACTTCGAACTTTAAGTTTCTGGGTGGAGATCTGTCGGGCCCTGCAGGTGCGGGCTTCCAGTCAAGCGTTCTCCGATTTTCCGTTTATGGGCATTTTTACATGGAGTTCTACGTAAGGGAACGTTATGTATCACGCCTATTAGGGGACTTATAACCCGGCTTATGACTACCCATAAACCTTGAAGTAGAGCATGAGAACTCCATCCAGCAGGCGATTCCGAATGCCACCAAAGCAGCGGCGCCCTTAGAGTTGGGTAGGGGGGATTCGGCGTCGAAGTTGTTGAGCCCTTTAACCCACGACAATCCTTAACTACTCAACCTCTAATAGTAATATTAACTAGACCCCTTAAGCCCTCAGACCCTGTACGTACCTCCAAACCCTTCAAGCCGTAACTCTGAAGGTATTCCTTCGGAACTGTTTCCAGGTGTGTTGTAAGGTAATGAAGCACATGTTTTCAAGTCTCCTTGTATATCTATCTGTCTGTCGGTCTGTATATATATGTAGATTTATATACGTATATGTATATGTAGATGTAGATGTATATGTATATGTATATGTATATGTATATGCATATGTATATGTATATGTATATGTATATGTGTGTATTTTGCATGATAGCTACTACTATGTTATCGTTGCTTTTGGTGAGGTGGGGCCATGTACAGTTTCCGGGCAGTCGACGTAGTATTTGTTGTTGGTGGTTCGGGGGATTGAAGACAAGGCTTCAGCACAGGTCATGGCTTTGGGTTTAGGGCTTAGGGATGCTTATTTGTTTGGGGTTTAAAGGTTCCGAGGGCGAGCTGCGAGTTTAGGGCACGGTTCTCAAGCTCGGCACGAAGCGCAGGGTTTTGAGTATCTACATGTGCGTCTCAAGTTGTCGCCCTTCGCTGGAGAGAAGGTGTGAGGAGAGTCTCTGTGCCCTTAAGCCAAAGCCCTAAGCCCGCTAGGCCCTAAACCCCCTAAGCCCTAAACCGCCTTAGCCCTAGACCCCCTAAGCCCTGAACCCCCTTAGCCCGAGACCCCCTAAGCCCTGAACCCCCTTAGCCCTAAACCCTAAGTTCGGAAACCCGGAGCTCCAGCCAGAACCCGAATAGCAGAGCATTTCGAGGCCCACATCTTCCGAGATTTGGAAGATGACAGGCCGGAGGGCTGCAGCATAGGGATGGGTTTTCGTTGTTTCGGGTTTAGGGGTATGGTTTTTGCATTAGGACTTAATTTCGGGTCATGTTTTTGATAAGGTTTTAGGGTTTAGGGCTGGCGACTAGGGTTTATTGCTGAATGGCCATGACCCTGGTGTTGAAGATGATGGCAGTGACGGTGACGATGATAACGACGGTGGTGCTGACAGTGGTAGTGGCTATGTGGTGATGTGACGACCACGAGGATGATGATGAGGAGGAGGAAGAAGAGGACGATGAAGAGGAACATGGAGATGAAGATGAACATCATAACGCTGATCTGACAACGACGAGGGCGATTAAGTAACAAAACCAGGGACCCTACTCCCAACACAAAGTCCACAGCGCCATCCGTTGTTTCTCAAAATGTCAAGGCCATGGCTACAGGCCTTGGCTCAGAATTCCTTTTAGAGTGTCACTCCCTGCAGCTTGGGCTAAAGTGCTAAAGCCTGAACTTTTGAAGATCAGCTTTGCTATAGAAGCCTGAATAATTTCCAATATCCTTGTTGAGAGTGTCGGGACCCCCCCCCCCCTGGGCCCAAACCCTCTTCGATTTTTTTGGAGGCCCTGCTGTAGGGGCCCCAATAATTGCCAAAACTAGTCATAATCATAGCATAATGGGCCCCAACACCTTATTCTAATTATTAAGGCCCCTATATTATTCATAATTATTATATAATGGGCCCCAACACCTTATTTTAATTATTAAGGCCCCTATATATTATTCATATTTTTTTTTTATAACGGGCCCCAACACCTTATTCTAATTATTAAGGCCCCTATATTAGAATAGGGCCCCGAAGCCTCAGACAATCCAATCGCAGGCTTGAGGCCATGTCCCTTCTCGCAACTCGGCCTTATGGCGGTCAGGTTTCGGGCCTTGCAGGTTCTGGGCTTACGGTTTAGGGTTTAGGGTTTCGGGCCTTTCGGGTTCAGGGCTTAAGTAGGCCACTGGGCTCTTCTTTGTTTTACTTGCATTTCTTGGGCTAGAGGGATCCTGTAGCAGAATCGTTTTAAAGGCCCTTGGGTCAGGCTGTGCGTTTTTGGTATCCTGCCCTAGGACGTGGAGTATGTTGCTGCCTGCACCATGATCCAATGTCTGATGTCAAGGTAAGAGATCAAAAACCTCGCCTGCAAAACGTTTTCCTACAGGTTCAGTGCCCAGCGACGGAAAGTCCGTCTTTTCACAACAGTATTTGGAGGCAGCAAAGCGTCAACAGCGCTCGTGGACAAACCAACATCCATGGCCGGAGACGTTAGTTGAGTTTAATGTTTCTGTGCGACGTGGGTAGTCGGGAGGTGAAGTAGTTTCCTGAACTGGTGTTTGCTGAGTGCAAGAGCATCCTGAAACATTGTAAGGAAATCCGAAACCTATACACCTCTCGTGTCCAGGAGCGAATCAGGGTTGGACTGCCAGGGTTTAGGGTTCAAAATGACGAAAGTCTGTAGAACTACTAACTAACAAAACAGTAAGCCCCTACACGATGAGATGCCCTCAATCCCCAGTCTAAGTACGAAGGCACCTCTATGGGTGGCGGTGGTTGTCAAAATTAGGGTCCCTTTTTTGGTCCCCATCATGGTACGGCACCTATTATTTAAGGTACCCAAAAGGGGAACCCTAATTTTGACAAGCACCCATATTGAGGTTTGGGTCCCTGGACAGGCGCGGGTTTCGAGCTTCGCATTGTACCTCCATCTAAGAGGGTGTCGAAGTGCTTTGGAGCAGAAGGTTCCATCCGGCGTTCGAAGCTTTCGGTACTTACCTATACCGTTTTGTTCTTGTTATAGTATACCATACCCCCAAGCCCTATTCTAATTATTAAGGTCCCTATACTATAGTTCTGTATGGTATCGAGCCGAAGCTTTGTTGACAATTAGGGGCAACGGAACAAGGACATCACCGCACGAATTGTCTCGCCCAGCTGATACCAGTAATCCTCCATGACTGGATCGACCCCAGCCGTGCGAGTTGTGATAGTGTTGGGTAATCTACCTTAAGCCCTACAGTAAACCCCAAAAAGTTGGAAACCGGATTAAGGCCAAATAGTGCTGGGATTCCTATACATTGCACTACAGGATTGAGGCTATGGGGTTTCCAACTCTTGGGCTTCTACTGACTCAGCCCCAACCCCGGTTCCTGAACCCCAGCCCGAGACGCTAGATTGTAGTCATGCTTTGCACTATCAGCCGTAGCACTCTGAGCCCAGGTCATGGCCAACGCCCACCTCAAGCGATCTACCGCGGCAGGGGGCTCCAGCTGCTTTCCAACCTGCAAAACACCGGTCTAACCTCAACCTCTACCTAAAATCTATCGTTTCCACTACGGGTGTCTAGATGTGTGGTTTGTGTGTGTGTGTGTGCATTTTTGTTTTTGGTATGGTGGCACGTCTACGGCTTATGTTTCGAGCACGACGAACGAGGAGATTCTCAAAATCTCCGTAAATGCGAGCAGAAGCATTCACAGAACGTAGGTAACATGGCTGGAAGGCTGTAGCATTGCACTCTCGCCGTTGATCTTTCTCAGAGCCGCGACGTGTTGCACCGCGACACTCCAAACCAAAAGCCAATCGCTTGAACCTCCGCCCATGTTGGTGTCCAGTGTGCATGGACGTGTTGGATGCAGGGTTTAGGAACCAGTTTGAGCACAAAGCACATAAGCATCATGAGCATAGCGAGTCACGAGCGAGTTTTGTTGGCCTGAAGTGCGTATATATGATTTCGGGGCATACTCCGCCGTAGTTATAGCAAGGAACCCTAAGTGATACCATCATTCATAATGGTAATAGCAATACTAATGGGAACTACTGATACGCATAGAGATGATGACATCAGTAACAACACCAAACACACGTGAAAAAAGCAACAGCAACAATGTTAACGTTAGCTTAGCCATAACAGTATCAACAACCACAACACGAGCAATAAAATTGCACCAGCACGAACAATATTGTATGATAATCACAATACAGTCATAACAACAAGAAGAAAGACAGCAACACTAACAACAGTAACAATCGTGGTGGTAGCTCCTGCGGCTTACATATTTGGCCTAGGCTAAAAAGAGCCACTCCTCGGAACGAGGTCATGGATGCCACGAAAGACAGCCAGCTTGCCATCGACTTTGCAAAGGCTGCCGGCTTTGGAACTTTCGTCTCTAAGCGTTCAGGCTCAAGAGCCGAGAGTTGCAAAGACTTAAGGCTTAGAGCTTAGGGCCTAGGGTTTTAGGCTTAGGGCTTAAGTCTTGATTGCATGACGGTTTAGGGATTAGGGTGGGGGGGCGGCGAGTGTTTCTACAAGGTTTCTGGTTATGGTGCTGTAGTGGACCCAGAGAGTGAGGCACACAGCTCCGGCGCAGTTGAGCTTTCCTGACAGTCATAACTCTAGCTTACCGTAAATCTGACAAGAAGGGCAACATAAGAAGAGCCCGCAAACTGTCTACCCCATATACTAATTCCTACAACCCTACTGCGCAGACTCTATTCTAATTGTTAAAGCCCATGCATTAGGGCTGAGCGGTCTAAGGCTGAATCCCTTAGGGATTGTAGGGTTCAGGGTACCTGTAGGGTTCAGGGTTAGAGGGCTTTCGGCTGGGTTTCAAAGCTTGGATCTGATAAGTGCTCAAGTGTACACTTGCTCTGAACCGCAAGCGGATGTAGGGCTTGCAAGGTGAAGGGCTGTGGTTGGGGAACTATAAATTATACCGATCCTCAAGTACATTGCCTTCAGCTGGTCACGAGCATAAGCCGGGTTCTACTTCCACATCCCATTTTTCCTGGCAGCCGTCGGACCAAGCATGATTCTCCGAGCTCCGGGTGCTGGGGCTGGGCTGGGGGCGGGGTTTAGGGCTTATGGTTTAGGGTTTGGCGTTTGTTGTTGTCGTTGTGGTCGTTGTCGCGTATTAATCACCTGTATGATGCTGATGTTATTGCTGCTGTATCTTGTGCAGGATGCGCTAGACCTCGTCCGCAGCCTGCAGGCAGGCTTCCGATTGATTGCTTCCATGACAGCATACAGAGGAACAGCCGACCGAGCCGCCACAAAGAGCGCGACACAACGACCAGCGAACCTCAAAGCTCTGAAAGTACTCCTGGGGACGAATAGGCCAGGGGTAGCCGCGCAGTTTGCAAGGAAATGGTTCTTTCTTGGAGTCGAGCCTGTGATAGGTCTGTTCACAGGAAGCTCGCTTTCACTGTCCAAAAAGCAAGCTTGAGGGTGCAGGAAAGGGGTGGATCTTAGGCTTAGGCATCGGTAGCACAGGATTGAAGCTCAACATGCCCCTTTGCGAGGAATAGTTCTGTCACTGGGGATGCCTCTCGTAACTGAGCGTTTCTAAACCCTGAGCCCACAACTCTGAAACCCAAACCCCAAACCTCAAGCCGCAAACCCCGGAGACCTACTTGGAGGGGCAGGGGACTTAGTAAGTAGGTTATAAGTAGAGTTGTAAGTGCCCTAAATGGAGCTATCCCCAATTATAAACCTACTTATGAACGACTTACTAAGTCCCCGGCCCCTCCAAGTAGGGTGTAGGACCCAGACTCTCGAGGCTCTGTGGAGCCACCTGGCTCCGGCAACCCCAAACCCTCGAACCCGAAGCTGGATCCCGGGTTCTCAGCCCCTTAGTGGAGTAAGGAACCTTTGACGTGGGGGTACGATAATCCATATTATATAGTCGCGCAAAGATGAACCTTTAGTTGAGTTTTTTCTACGGCCTGGATATGCCAGAGCCGATGCCCTGCATGCCATCGACACCAAGGGGGAGCCTTTAGCTAGTGGGTGGTTGTCAAAATTAGGATCCTTTTTGGGCCCCGAATATCCTACGGCACCTAGTATTTAGGGTACCCAAAAAGGGACCCTAATTTTGATAGCCACCCTAGTGATATTTAAGCTCCCACAACTAAGCCTATCAGCCTCAAGCCCGAAACTCTAAACTTGAACCGAAACTCTAAACTTGAAGCTCTCATCTGGGGTAACTCTGAAGAACCTCATCCGCAAACCCCAAAACCACCCTAAACACGAAAGCATCCTAGAGACCCTAAACCCGAACCTTTAACCTTATAAACTGCTCAGCCTGAAACTGCAGCCTTTCAAAGGGGAAAAGGAGGGACCCTTAATGGGGACCCCTACCCTAAAATGGGCTATATAATGGGTATATAATGGCTATATTAAGGTTATATACCTAGGGGTCCTTATTAAGGGTCCCTCCGTTTCCCCTTGGAGCCTTAAACCCTAAGCCATGAAAGCAGGATCGCCGGCAAGAGGGTCTTGCACTGCATACCATCTCGGTCGGATACCTGCACCTCCAAGAGTTTCGGCAGGCCAGGCCACATGAGGGCTGTTCTAAATTATGGTCACTTTTTGGGCCCTATAGTAGTAGAGTCCTTATTATAAAGGGTACCCCAAAAGGGACCATAATTTAGAACAGCCCCCACATCTTCGGAATTGGGGGTGTTGGGTTTAGGATTTGGGGAGCAAAAATTCGGATTAAGGATCCTAAAAGGTAACCCCAAAAAGGAACTACAATGGAGGCTGTAGGTACAAGTCCAATCTAGTCACCCTATTGATACCATGAGTAAACGAGGCTTCAAGAGGAGGACTGTAATCAATAAGAAATGAAAGCAGATACGTAAATAGTCCGGTTTTTCTTTTGAAACATATCCATGTTTACCGATGTTTAGGACCCCTATCGCCCTAAACACGAACGACCACGAACGACTCAAAAACACTACTGGCAATACGAACGCACTAAACTTCGAGCCGTGCTTGCCCTACCGATCCGTTAGGGTCTCGTAGAAGGCTTTCGGTCTTTAGCCTGCGACTGGGGTTGTTAAGAAAGCAGAGAAAGTGATGATGATGATGATGATGATGATGATGATGATGATGAGAGCAGTGGCGATCAGAAGCGGCAGCACTGTTCCGGTAGTGCCTCATGATAACAACTACAGTAACTACATGAACTCTCAGCACCATTAGCATTGGTTCAACGACGGTACCCAGTCTGCTTGAACCAGGCATCCGAAGCTCAGAGTCAGTTAACTTTAACTTTTCGGACGGTGCGCAGTGGTTATGCACTCAAACCCCAATTCTAAAGCCCAAGCAGGATGCAAGCGCAGCTCCCAGACAGTGAAGGAGCACCTGGCAGTCAGAAGCCTCATAATAATTCCCCTACGCAAGAACTGCTGAGGCTCCCGGGCTGTGGAACGGGAGTCGCATGCTAAAAACGTGGGGCACACGGCTGCCGGCGACAGAACGGCGGGGTACGACTTCGGAACCTTAAACCCTTAAAAAAAAAATCCTAAGGAACTTAACATTGAAGCCTAAGGGTTCGAAGTAGCAGAGACCACCGCCCACGAAGAAACGAATCGAGTTCTGTGAGCAGCACCCGTCAGAACAGGCGATCCAGCTGTGCAAGCAGGCCATCAAGATCTACCAGGACCCATCGCTTGGAAGTTCTTGGGTAGCTATACGTGGGGTTATAAGTCCCCTCGTAGGGCCCTACTTATAACCCCACTTATAACTACCCATGAACCTCCAAGCAGGCCCTAAACCGTATACCCTTATTATAGAATCCTTATAATAGATGCCTTTCAAGGGACCCTTCAAGGAATCCTTATAACAACCCATGAACCTCCAAGTAAACCCCAGGACCTAAGCCAGAGTTTAGATCTCATTTTTCGGCCTCGGAATTAAGGGCACCAGAGGCCTTCAAGAAAGGCATAAGGACCGCAAGCGGTGGGAGATGTTGCACATATAGCTGCTTGCGGGGCTACATAGGTAGAAAGGTCTTCTGTCGTAGAGCAAAGGGTTAAGCGAAGCTATAAGCGCAGCCAGCGATTTCTGAGCGTTTACCCACGGACTCCCAGGATAATATATACCCTGAACCCTAAACTCGAAGTCTACTGATGAAGAAAGCTTGTTTGCAATGCAGCAAGGGTCTGCAGCTGAAAGGCTATCAAGGTCAGCACTCACGGCTTTTGAGTTGGAGGCTTGTGCAGTTTATGGTATTCTGACTGGATTCCCCCCAGCTGAGGGCTGTTTGAGGTTGTAGGTCGGCATCTTCTACACCCTTGCTGCCCTGAAGCCCCTCCTAAACCCTCTTCCACCTTCGAAAAATCCAACCTATCGTCTCGCTCATGCAAAAAAACACCCAAACCATAAACCCACCTCTGCGAAAAAGCACTAACCCGGTATCTAAACCCTAAACCTAAGCAGCCTAAACCTATCTTCGAGCCTGTTACAAAATACCCTAAACCCAATGAAGCCTTAAACCGACCTCCTACCTTTGATTGAAAAATACCCTGAACCCCGGCCCCTACGGTTTTAATAAAAGCCTAACCCCTAGACCCGACAAACTTAAAAACACCCTAAACCCTAGACCCCTTTTAAAACCCAAACGACAGGAGATTGGCGCAAGGAAACTGGAAGCTTTCGAGCGCCGTGTGCTGGCGCGATGGCACCTCAGGCTTTCGGATTAGGGTTTAGGGGTTTCTTTTAAAGGGATCTACAAGGGTTCCTTAAAGGGGTCTATAAGGGTACTATTAGGGTTCAGGGTTTAGGCTTTAGGGGTTTGGGGGTTTTGCTTCGGAGGGGTTCGGGCTCTTGGTCTCCTTTGTAGTTCCCTTTTTTAGGTTCCCTTGTAGGGATCCCAAATGTTTTGAAATACGAATGAACTTGGTTAAACCCAAAAAGGAGGGACAATGGAGAGTAGGTAGGGCTTCTACGCATGTTCAGGCCCTGTACCCTAAACCCTAAACCGCCCTAAACCCTAAACCCTAAACCGCCCTAAACCCTAAACCCTAAACCGCCCTAAACCCTAAACCCTAAACCAGCCTCCCTAAACTCGTGACTGTTGACTATAGGCCGAAGGGCTGAGCGTTGGGGGGTTTAGCGTGATTGGGCTGTAGTGTTGAATGGTTAGGGCTGAGGGTGCCTGGCTTTGTGGGTAGGGTGTGGAGGCCTTGATCTAGGACCTAGAGTAGGCCCTTATTCCCTTTTTTGGGGGTTCAGGTTCCCTTATAAGCCCCTTTAAACCAAAAAGGGCACCCTTTTTATTCCTAGGCTACTCTTGGGTCTAGAAGGGATCTTTACCCAGATTTTCGGAGGATCCAAAAAGTAGATCCCTAAAGGCTCTAGTGATTGAAAACCCACTACCGCATACCCTGGGACTCGAGACTCTAAACCCTAAGCCCGGTACCTGAGACCCCCAAACCGAACACTGAGCCGAGTCTAGGACCCTAAGCCCTAAGACTCTATACCCTATGGTAGAAGCCCAAAAGTTGGAAACCCAATAGCCTCAATCCTTAAGATTAATGTATAGGGAATCCCAGCTAGCACTCTTTGGCCTTAATTCGGTTTCCAACTTTATGGAGTTTACTGTAAAGCTCCTAAAGCTTACAGCAAGCAAGATGAGCGAACCCAAACGCTCTAAAGCCCTAAAGGGAACTCCAGAAAGTTGGAATTTGGTTTCATGGTAGGATACCCTATAATTTACCATAATAAAAGGGGTTAGGATAGTCATATTCCAACTTTCTGGCTTCTACTGTAAAGGAACCATAAACCCCTATAGATCCCTTTAAAGGAACCCCACAGATCCCCTTAAAGGCCCCCTTAATACAACTTTCTGGCTTTTACCTTAAACCCTAAACCCTAAACCCTAAACCCCAAACCCTAAACCTTAAACCCTAAACCCCAAACCCTAAACCCGAAACCCTAAACCCGAAACCCTAAACCCTAAACCCAAACCTCTGACCTGGGACCTCGATCCCCCGAAGCCCTGAACCCTGAGACCCAAGCCGTGAGCCCTAAAGCCCCTTAAGGAATCCTTTAAGGAACCCATTATAGAGGACCCTTTTAAAGGAGCCTTCTAAGAAAACCCTAAATCCTAAAGCCCTGAACTCCCAGCCCTAAGCTCTACGATCCCACACCCAATAAGCCTGAAAAAGCAAAACTCCGAAGCCCCGGAAAGGAAAGATGAGCCCGATCAAGCTCTGGAAGCTCTGCCCTCAGATCTTAAAAGGCTTTAGGGTTTCCGGTTTAGGGTTGAGGGTTGAGGGTTTTTGTTGCATGGTTGTTGGGTTTAGGTCTCCGGGTGGAAGATTTCGTTGTGTTTTGGGTTTGGGGTTCAGGATGTGGGGTTTTGGGGTTCAGGGTCTTCGAGGCTCCTTTTTGGGAGTTTAGGCTTCTGAGTTCCAGATTTCGGGGTTAGGGTCCTGGGTTTGAAATTGAGGTTTGGGTTTTTATGTTTTTGAAATTTGGGCATTGGGCGGAGCCCTTACCTTGAACCTGAACTCGTTGAACTACTATTATTGAATTGTGTTCAGGTCTTATGTGGTGCACGGAGGCGCAACGGTTTGGTTTGGGTGGGGTCATGAGGTGCTCCGTGCACAGAGGCTTAGGCTTTCGGCATTCGATTAGCGTTTGAGTGTAAGGTTTCACAGATTTGGGATTTAGGAATATGAAAGCCTTGTAGAAGCCTTAAGATTCCCCTTATAGATTAAAAAAAACCGTTTCTAGAAGCCTTATGAAACTTTAATAGAACCGGAAACCTAGCGTCATGCTGACAATCAGCTGGCCATGGTTCAGATCCCGCCAGTGTGAGGCTGCGGAAAAGTCCTTGCACATGTTCCGCGAGCTTGAGCAGTCCCGCTCCGTGACAGGCCTTCGTTCAACGTTTGCAATTTGCTGGCTGCCCAAAGCCCGAGTATAACTCAAGCCGTGAGGCATAGCGACCCAGCAACAAGCTTACTAGCACTTCTATGAATCAAGACCCTCTAATGCTCCATATATCATCCCCGGTGGGTTCCAGAGCTCTTGACAGAGCAACCGCGGCCGAGGCCGTGTTGCAAGCTCCGGGCAACTACACACTGTTTAGGAGGCATGTCGTAAACTGTGCTCCTCTCTGTTGGAGTGCATTGCAGAGTTTCCTTGGACCACGGCTTAGCAGGGGAACCTGAACTTTGCTCTTGCACTGCACCATGGGGAATCGGCGCCCTTGACTGCTCATATCTAAGCGACAACGACGCTGCTCCTTCCACACACAAGCCACAAGCCACAAAAGATTGTCACGTAGGTTGCACGAGACGCAATTTTCAAGCTGTGAACACCGAACGCCGAACCGGCCGAAACTACGTGCTGGGCCGGGAGCAATCTTCGAGAGTCATACACAAGTCGCTTGTCCTTCTTTCCCACATCATTTTCAGATCTGTGATTTGCGGGGTCTCCCTCTTCAACCCTGAGTCCTGACTCGCAAAATACCACAAATTACAGCTGTAAAACCCTACAACCCTGATTTATGGGCCTTAGTAAGTACAGAATAGGGTTGGCGGGTACAGTGTGCCATAGTTATAACGGGGACTCGAATGGAATAGTGTTGCTAGTCATTCCGACCTCTAAGATTCTCATTCACATTATTGCGAGTGTTCGTGTCCTGTTTGTATATTCGTGCTATTGTTACCAACTGCTACAGTACTGTTGTCATTGCCAGTACCATTGTTTTAGTTGATAGATAACAACTAAGTATCAGTTGTTAATTCACTGTTCCTTGTTGTGTGTTTCACTGTTATTGTTACTATCATTGCTATTACTAACGGTATTGCTATTACTATTACTGTTGTTATTCTTCTTGTTGTTAGTACTATCATCTTTATTATTATCATGAATATTTGCATTCTTGACCTCTATGTGACATAAAAACCAAAGCCTGGGATTCCTCGGGTGCAGGATGGCAGGTGGCTGCTCTCGGGGTGGTCGTGGAGGCAGCTTGACGACGCTGAAGTTTGGGGGCTTTAGTGATTAGGGATTTGGGATTTTGGGGTCGAGGAGTTCAGGGTTTCGGGGCTAGGAGCTTGGGGTGTATTTATGGTTGCGGTTTAGGGTTTAGGGTTTAGGTTCTAGAAGTTTGGGGTTTATCTCGCAGATCCAAGAAGGCAGGTTTCGCTTTGTTGGACGGGTGGTAGACACTTCCACTAGCCATTGACATTGGGGGGAGCTAAGGAGCCAGGGGTGATGATAATCCCTACTTAATAAGGAGCTAAAGAGCCAAAAGAACCCTAAAGCCATTGGTTAGTCCAGCTGCTCCAAGGCGCTCAGTCTCGAGGATGCTTAACCGGCTCGGTGCTCTGAAACTCCAAAGGAACCTCAGCCTTCCGTAAACTTCGTGGCTTGAAGGCTTGAGAGAGGCTCAATCCCTAAACCCTACTCCTACGGAAATCCTAAACTGTTTGCTCATACCTCAGACTGACTCCCTAAACCTAATCCTTTTCCGCAATCAACTTAAAGGTTGTTATCTATTTGCCTGACTATCTAACAATCCGTCCGCCTATCTCTCTAAACGTGTTTGTTTGTTTGCTATAGGGTTACTATAGGGGTTACTATAAGGGTACTATGATATAGGGGCATTACCTAGACCCCCAAAAGTAAGTAAAGTAATGGCCCGATTCCTATAAAAGGCTAGTGTTCTACATCCTTTTGGGGTCCAGGTAAGAAGTAACATAGGGGGGGGGGGGGCTGCAGGCTTACCTTGCTGGCAAAGACTTCGATGCGGCGATTGAAGCTGGGAGCTGAGCCACAGGACATGCCCAGAGAACCCAATACACCTTAATTAAGGAATATACCTTAAATTATAGGGGCCTTAATAAAACTAGAAGACACTTGGCCCGAACGCATCATTAGCGAAGAGTTTAGCGCTACGTTATAGAATCCAGTGCATAGCATTATAGAGTCATAGCGCGAAGTGCATCTAATTATGAAGTATATGGCAATGCCGAAATCGATATTCTTGAAACTAAGAACTTGTCTCTGCATGTTTTACTCTGCGTTCCTCAGTCGATGTTGTCAAAGCTGTCGAAGCAGTGTATAAAGTTAAGTTAAGTATATGAAGTCAACTGCATACGGCGAAGTGCATAGAGTCAGGTGCATAAGTCAGGTGAATAAGTATCTAGAGTCATGGTGTCAAGTTGTTTCAGTGCAGCCAGGTCCGGTGGTCGGTGATCGTATTATAGTGCTGCGGTATCCTTGGTTGGAGCTGATCCAGCAGGGAAGACGGTAGAGATTCGATCGAGGCAGGTAAAGAAGAGTCCTCAGTATGGTAAGATGCTGCAACATGTTCATCCCTTCGAGCAAAGCATGCGGGTCATACATGTGCAATGAGAAAGCCTCTGCAATCGACGTAGAGATTCCGAGCCTGAATAAGTCATCGAGCAGGCACCGGCGACGCCTCATTGCCATACACACTGACTCACGCAGGCAGTGACCAACGGCGGCGATTCCCAATGAAGCGTCCTGCTCGGCAATGCGCCGCGATAGAGCTTTCAACAACTCCGCTTTGGAAAATTTGCGCCCGGCTGACTTCTGCTGCGCATCCGCCAGCGACAGCGAGCCCACACGGCTGATCGTGAGTCCGCTTCCCGAGCTCGTCGGGGAGCCAGGCTTCGCCGTGCTCGGCACAGCCCTCTCGCAGCTCCTGCAACTTTTGCTCCGACGCAGCAACAGCATCGACCTGAAAGCAAAAACTTCACGTGAAAGCACGAAGCATCTAACCTGGCCACGATACTGACGCTTCACTATATTACAAATTGACACAGACAATGATCACCGACATCGATTCCCCATGAAGCCTCCTCCTCCACAATGCACCATGATAGAGCTTATACCAATTCCAGCTTGGACAGAGTGCGCCAGGACGAGCGCTGCGGCACGACCACACAACTAATTGCGAGTCCGCTTCCCGAGCTCGTCGCGGAGCCAGGCTTCGCCGTGCTCGGCACAGCCCTTTCGCAGCTCCTGCAGCTTTGCTCCGACGCAGCAACAACATCGACCTGAAAGCAAAAACTTCACGTGAAAGCACGAAACATCTAACCTCGTGGCACTGACGCTTCACTATATTACAAATTGACACAGACAATGATCAACGACATCGATTCCCCATGAAGCCGCCTCCTCGACAATGCACTATGATAGAGCTTATACCAATTCCAGCTTGGACAGAGTGCGCTAGGACGAGCGCTGCGGCACGCCTGCAGCGGCAGCAAGCCCACACAACTGCCTGGTAGTTAGTTCCCGAAGCTCCGCACGGAGCCAGGTTTCACCGTGCTCGCCAAACCCTCTCGCAGACCATTCAGCTGCTGTGGCGGCAACGCCATGGTACTAGGTCTAAAACTACTATTATTACTATTGTCTTACTACTATTACTATTACTACTCTTACCACTCAAAACTATTATTACTACTATTACTACTATATTACTACTATTACTACTACACCTTCATGTGCAGCAAAAGTGTTAACTTTACCTCGCGTTCGAACACTCGACAACGCCAATCTCTGTGAAGGGTTGCTGCGAACGGACTGCGATGCCTTGTCAAGTTCTAAGGTGTCACTATAAGAGCTGTGAGCAAGACCGTGTAAAGTGCAAGAGAAGGGGGCACGCTACGCGTCCCTCGACTCTAGGGGGCATGCTACGCATCCCTCATCTTTACCTTTCTATGTGACCGCCAACGCAACGTTTGGCTCAAGTCAATGCCCATAGCTAAGTGCTATATGTGTCTTCTATCCTGAGCAATCAGAGCTATCCCGTTGCACAGACGAACCGCCGCCGGCAGTGAGTGCAAAAGGAACGGCCGCCGGTTCTGCCTGCATAGGATCGCACGTGTGGAAGTAAGAGGGAGAGACAGGGTCCAGTCTGTGGAGAGTGCTAGCCAGCCACACCTACATTCATTACAGCTCTGGTGGGGAGAGCAGCAACCAAGTCGAGATCAATCCCCCACGCAGGTTATCAGCCGTACGCGGCTCTGCCTTTCTACAGCAACGACTACTTGATCTACTACGACCACAATGAACTCAGGATCAAGCCAAGATACGACAATGACTTTCGGTGCCGATGTGGCAGCGCCAGCCGTTGGTGAGTCAACAGCTGACGACACAGTGGTGCAATCCGTTGATAGCTCCACGGAAGATGACAAAGGTCAATCTTCTGCGCTTGCCATTGCAAAGGCAGTTCCCAAGGGGAAAGCAAAGAGTCTACCAAGAGCATCTACGCCTTCGCGTCCGACATCCACAGGTTCGAGGACGGGCAAGGCTTCAGAACGACGGGCCGAAGCGTCTGGTTTTCAGGCACCTCGGACTACGTCCAGGGCCAAGGACAAAGGAGTCAAGACCTTGGAAAAGAAGTCAAGACCATCATCTTCGAGAAGCTCTTCAGCACGATCGAGGACTTCGGCTACTCGTGGGCGTGACAAGTCCATGACTTGGAATCGGATGGTTACCAATCAACCACGCGATGCTGACGATCTGGACATGACTCTGGATACGATTCCTGCACGTGGTGATGCGTCGTCCGTAGCTACGCCTGCCATAGCTGATGGTCCGAATGCCTACCAGGAACTGACGATTTCGCAACAGTTCGAAGCATCGAACCTTGCACAGCAGATGTACTATCGCAGTCAGGTGCAAGAATACGAAGGAATCGTCCAGACCCTGATGGACAAGATCAAGGAGATGCAACAAGAAGATGAAGGATCTGGAATTCGCATTGAAGAATTGGAACGACAACGTGACCATGCATGCTTAGCCATGAGGCACATCAACAATGTCAATCAGGAGATGAAGCGAGACTATGAAACAGCTTTGTTTCGCATGGATGAACAGAACTCTGCTCAAC